CATATAAAAGGTGTAAAATTTACAAGAAAATACAAATTGTTTGTATCAACATGTTTTATTAGCACAGATACTCTTTTTCCTCCATACCAGTCACATACAGATATACTTATATTATACCGATTTTATTGGCAACATCAAGGGCATCATAGTCACGGGTTAAGCGCACATACGCTTTCTTTTTACCGTCTGGCCTGATTAAAGTGTTCACTGTAGCCACTTCGACGTCATACAACTTTTTGATAGAAGCTTTGATGTGGTACTTATTAGCACGTGTATGCACAATAAAAACTAATGTATTATTATCTTCAATCTTTTTCATTGCTGCTTCAGTGGTTAAAGGAAATTTAATGATATTAAATGCATCCATGCTGAAAAAGAAAAACATTATTCGTAATTGTTCTTATTAAATTACATAATTTGTATATATTAAAGTTTTATGAAATTAAAGTATTATAAAATAAAATATGTAAATAGGAACTGGAACATGAAATCATATGAATTTTTAATAATTACCGGTTTCTGTTTGGAACAGATTTTCGTGCATATTTTGGATTTCGTGGTGGCCTAAATGTTTTTGGCCGATGAAAATGTACAGATGTCCTTATTTTTCTTACTCTTGATCCATGAACACCTTTCAATACCTGTGCACAAACACATTACAACTGTATTATTTATATTATTAATTATTAAAAATTAATTACTCTATATAATTAATAGGTCAGTAATATATTAAATTCATATCATAGTTATTCAACGAGATTCTCTGATATATCTCATCATGCAAATATAAAATTAATGCAAGTTTAATATCAATAAAATTGTGTATATTAACCTTTTTCTGAGCTTTAAGTGCTTTTTGAAGTGGTGCAGCTGGTTTTCCACCTTTAGGTGTTTTCTTCGTGGGTTGAACATTTTTCTTAGGTTTGGTAACCACTGGTTTTGTGGCAACTTTAGATGCAGGCTTTGCTACTGGTTTTGCTGCAGGCTTTGTAGAACTTGTCGATTTAGCAGCTGCTGGTTTCTTTGCAGTAGTAGATGTCTTTGCAGCTGGTTTTGTGACTTTTGATGTTGAAGCTGCAGTAGGTGGCTTCTTCTCAGTTTTCTTTTCTGTTTTTTTCTCAGCCGGCTTGCTGGCTAAAAAAGAAAACAACAAACAATTGAAAAATTGCAATTAGTTAGTAAGATTTTATCGTAATCATATATTTCTAATATGAAAACTTAAAATTAGTGATAGGTACGATTTTTAGGTTATAGCAAACACGTACAAAAATCGTGAACAGAGATGGCTTCATTAAATAATATTTTTTTATATTTGTTCCTTAAATATACATAATAAATGCTGTAGAAGCATTCAGAAACAAAATGTTTATACACATGGTATTTTTTCTAATAAAATCAAGACAAGTGATAAACCACATGGCTAAAGCTGAAACTGCACACATGTTTATTAAACAAGCTTTCTACATCACTCATTTTATAAATATAATTTTATTGATCGTTTACTACAAGTAGGCGATATAATTTTAATACCTTTGACGAGAAATTCGAATGTTTAAGCAATTTCCGAATGTACCTGTTTTATCCGTGGGCTTCGGTTTTGGAGCCATTTTGCTAAAAAGAACGAAAACTTCAACCGGAAACAAACGTATGGAGTCATGGAGAATCAAGGAACTACGTTAATCATTGACGTATTAATTTTAGTATTATGAAGTAATAACTGTGTCACTTATATTTATGCACTAAATTATATTTATTAAAATACTTAATTATTTTAACTACGACAGTAACTTGTATTATATTTTATAATTTTAAATGTAAATTCGAATATTATGCATTATACTGCAACATAGTATTTTAAAGTATTAATCGTATTAAGTATTTATACGCATGCATGTACATCTGTTTCTTGACATATTAATTTAAATAAAAAATTATAAGTCAAGATTTTATTTCAATTATAATGTATCTAGTTGGTTCATAATAGAACAGATGGACTATGAACACCTGTCGTAGCAACCAGTGTTTTCATTTAGTTCAAAATTACTTATATTTATCAGAGGTGTCCAACGTATAACACGTGAATATTCCTGTGAACCTAGCAATAACGTTCTAAAAGAATTTTTGAATATAATATAGATAACAAAGTATAAACTTCGTCAGTGCATATTAGACTTATACTTTAGGACATTTGTAACAAAATTCTTGTTTAATTAATTAGCAGTTTAGATAATTTGATTAAGTGACTACAGTACAATTGAACAACTCGTAAATATGTACATATATTGTAATATAACAGTGAATGTATATATTTAAATATAATTAACACTGTACAATACGTAGTGTAAGTGATGTTAGAAACACGTTCGGCTGTTTACAAGATGATAAAAGCGGCGCGCGATGACAGACAGGTATAATTTAATACATTTATTTCGGTATAAGTACACTTTTCAATAAAAGCATTAGAGGAATTTAAAAGTTTATACGACTAGTAATCACATTTTTGAATTTGATTGACAATTCGAGTACTTCAATTGGGCGGACATCCGGCAAAAACAGAATTTGAATTTGAGACCATATTTAGTAATTTCATTGATGAATTCGTTTTATTTATGAAATAAAAGCTTTAACAATAATAAACATTCTCCATTTCTATTCATTATATGGCACGTATTACAATA